GTGTGTGTGTGTGTGTGTGTGTGTGTGTGTGTGTGTGTGTGTGTGTGTGTGTGTGCGTGTGTGCCTTGGGGCCTCTTAGGGACCTCTTGGGGGCTTCCTGGGGCTTGATTTGGGCCTCTTGGGCGCCTCCTGGCGGACTCGGGGGTCATCTTGGGTCGGAGGGCGCGAAATGTCAGTTAGAGTTCCCCGTCTTGGGGCCCTCATGGGGCCGTCTTGGGCAGTCTTGGCAGCCTCTTTGGCCGTGTTGGGTCCCTCTTGTACCATCTGGGTGCCCTCTCGGGGACCTCTTGGGCGATCTTGGGAGCCTCCTTGGCCGTGCGACTCGGGGCACACTCGGGCCGTCTTGAGGGCCTTTTGGGGCCCTCTTGGCCCGTCTGGGGGCCCTCTTGCCTCCTCCAGAAAAGCCATGTGACAACATTCGGGGCAGGCGCCATGCCCCACGACATCAGCAAATTTGGGGTCCAGGCCTTTGACTACGGAGCCCTCAGGACTGAGGGCGGAGAACTCGAGGGACATGGGGACACTCCTGCTGCCCGTGGCCAGGCCGTGGCCAGGCCTGGCCGCGGCGTCTTCTTTCGGCTTAATTATTTAATTAATTAGGGGCTTCGTGCCACTGGCGCGTCGGCAGAGGCAAGGCCACCAGCACGCCTACCTCTTTGCAGCCTTTACACGAGGAAACTCCAAGGCGTGCCTCAGGACACGGTGGCGGAGGATCCGAAGTTCGGCACTGTGCAAGAGTTTCATGGACGGAGGGCGATTCCCATGGCCTACTACCACAGGTCACACGGCGGATGGAGAGCCCGTCGTTCTCAGATCGCGGCTCTCGCTCTCGCGCCGCGTACACTCATGCCACAAGCCTCCCACTCTCACCAGGATGGTTGGCTGATGGTTCTCAAACGGCGGTTCCCGCCTAGCGCCGCGCACATTTGTCTTACTCGTTTCCAATGTGTACACGGGTGTATGGGGGGGATCAAGATGCTGCTTTCCCGGGAGACTTCTAGACGCGTTCCACGACGACGAGTGTAACATCGTGCAATAGTTGACCGTGCACCCCAATTACCGACTTCCCCACCTTTCGGCGAATCTATATCGCTTCTCGCCCACTGGAAGTGATATCCCGCACCTGGACCCCTCAGTTCGGGATCCCACCCATATCTTAATAGGATTTCATCACTATCCCAATCGGATTCCAATAGCGCCCAAGAGGATTGTAACATGAACCCAATCATATCCCAATCGGATTCCACTTGTATTTAGAGATGGGCCAACGTGGATCACAGTACGGTCGACGCCGGTGATAAGGGTGGGTAACCTTCCCAGGGGTACCCTTGCATCGGTGCCTCTTCGGTCCATGTTCAACCACTTTCGATGGCCCGCCGCGCTTGAAAAGCTTCGGCATGGGCTTCCCAGGCCCTTGCATCCTTATCTCGCATCCTTACTGTCAGTTTTGACGTGGGGATTATATCACAGTAGGACTCCACCATAGGAGTTTCCCTCATGAGTCCAGGTGGGCCCCCCGTCGGATTCCCTGCCGTCCGCTCCCCACCGAGGAAGTATCGAATTACTCAACTTGTCGGTGCTGCCAGTATTGTTCGGAAGTCCCCCCTCGGAAATCAATTGACGAATTCGAGCGCTACCGAGAACGCTGGGTGGACCTATAATTCTGTTTTGAGGTTGCATAAATGGAGGGCGTTTTTTGTTTCTAGTCTTTTTCTTCTGATCGAGCGGGGCTCTCGTTTTTGGAGTGCGAACTGGTCGAACAGCTGCACAGGACGAGGCGTTTTTTTTTTTTTTTTTGTTGTTGTTGTTGTTGTTTCTTTCCTTTTCCTCTCCTTTTTTTTACAACCCGTACCGACGCTAGGAAAGTCCCCGATGTTCTTTGACCACCCACCTTGCCGCACGCTTTCTCCTTCGCATCGTCGTCGTCGTCGTCCTCCTCCTCCTCATTCTCTTCCTCCTCCTCCTCCTCCTCCTCCTTCCCCCCTCTCTCTCCCCCTCCCCCTCCCCTCCTCTTCCCCGCTTCTCCTCCGCCGTCTACACTCCTCCTCATCATCCTCCTCCGCCGACTTCATCCCTCCTCCTCCTCAATGCCTCCTCACTCCTTCCTCACTCCTCCTCCTCCTCCTCCTCCTCCTCCCTCTCCTCCCCTCCCCTCCCCCTTTCTCTTTCCTTTAGCCTCCCTCACCCCCCTCCCTCTCTCCTCTTCCCTTCCTCCTTCCCTGTCTCTTGAGGCGTTCTTGGACTTTGTCGCACTCTTGTCGGGCTTGACGGCTCCCACCCCCTCCCCCTCCTCCCCTCCTTCCTCCCTCATCCTCTTCCTCCCTCCATCCCACCCTCCGTCCTCCCTCCCCTCCCCCCCTTCCCTCCCTTCCCTCCCCGCCCCCCTCCTCTCCCCTCCCCTCTCCTCCATCTCTCCTCTCCTTTCTCCCTCGTCCTCGTCCTCGTCCTTCGCCCCTTCCGTCCCTTTCTCTCCTGCTCCTCCTCTGTCTCCCTCTCCTCTGGCTCTCTTTTTCATGTCTCTCTCTCTCTGTCCTCCCTCCTCCTCCTCGTCCTCCCCTCGCCCTCCTCGCCCTCTCCTCGTTCTCCCTCCCTCCGTCCTTGTCTTCCCCTCGTCCCCCCCCTCCTGTTCTCCTCTCTCCCCCCTCCTCCTTCGTTCCTCGTTCCTCTTCCCCTGTCCCTCTTCCCTCCTCCCTTCTCTTCCTCCTCCTTATCCTCCTCCTTCACTTTCCTTTTTTTGTCTCTCTCTCTCTCTCTCTCTCTCTTTCTGTCTCTTTCTCTCTCTGTCCTCCCTCCCCCCTCCTCGTCCTCCCCCTCGCCTCGCCATCCCTCATGCCCCCTTGTCCTCTCCCTTCCCTCCTCGTCCTCCCCCTCGTCCTCCCTCCTTCCTCGTCCTCCCTCCTCCCTCCTCCTCCTTCCCTCCCTTCCTCCCTCACTTCTCCCCTCCCCTCCCCTCCCCTCCCCTCCCCTCCCCTCCCCTCTATCCTCTCCCCCCCTCCTCCCTCGTCTCTCGTTCCTCGTCCCTCGTCCCTCTTCCCTCCTCCCTTCTCCTCCTTCTCCTTCTCCTGTTCCTCCTCCGTTACTCTCTCTTTCCCTTTTTCTCTCGTTCTCTCTTTCTCTCTTTCTCTCTCTCTCTCTGTCCTCCCTCCTCCCTCCTCGTCCTCCCCCTCGCACTCCTCGCCCTCCCTTTCGTCCTCCCCCCCTTCTCGCCTCCCTCCTCCCTTCCTCCTCGTCCTCCCCCTTGCTCTCCCTCGCCCTCTTGCCCCCCCCCCCCCCCAGGTTCTGCTCCTGCGCGGACGACTCGCACGCGAAGGTGTGGGACCTGCGGACCGGGACGGAGGCGGGCGCCGAGGGGCGGGGCCCCGGGTTACCTCCTGGCGCCTCCGCGCGGCGTCGGCGAGGAGGAGGAGGAGGAGGAGGAGGAGGAGGAGGAGGAGAGAGGAGGAGGAGGAGGAGGAGGAGGAGGAGGAGGAGGAGGAGGAGGAGGAGGAGGAGGAGGAGGAGGAGGAGGAGAGGAGGGAGGAGGAGGAGGAGGAAGGAGGAAGGAGGAAGAGGAAGGAGGAAGGAAGGAGAAGGAGGAAGGAGGAGGAGGGAGGGAGGGAGGGAGGGAGGGGAGGGAGGGAGGGAGGGAGGGAGGAGTAGGAGGAGGAGGAGGAGGAGAGGAGGAGTGAGGAGGAGGAGGAGGAGGAGGGAGGAGGGAGGATGAGGAGGACGAGGAGGAGGACCCTTCTCCCTCGTCGCCCCCCTTTCCTCCCGCCTGCCCGCTTCCCCCCTCCCACCTCCCCTCTCCTGCCTCCTGCCTCCTCTCTTCTCCTCCCTCCCTTCTCCTTCTAAGGGTTCCAAAGCAGTAGGTATCCGAGAGGCCTCCCGCAGACCTCCCCCAGCCTGGGGGCAGGCCTCCGGGAGGCCCCCCCTGGTCCTCCTGGAGGCCTCCCCCAAGATCTCCCCCCGGGAGGCCTCCGCTGGTCCTCCTGGAGGCCTCCCCCCCAGACCTCTCCCCACGCCTGGGGGATGCCTCCCAGAGGCCTCCCCTGATCGTTCACTGGGTCTGGGGGGAGGCCTCCCCTAAGGCTGGTGAGAGGTCCAGCCTTGGGGACTCTTCGGGGGCCTCTTGGGAGTCTCTTGGGAGTCTACTGGGGGCCTCTTGGGGCCTCCTTGGGGCCTCCTGTGGACCTCGTGGGGCGGAAAACTTGGACCGCGGTTCGTGCTCCCTCCCGTGGGCCCTTTTTGGACCGTCTTGGGGCCCTCTTCCGTCTTGGGCGCCTCTTGGGCCGTCTTGGGGCGCTCTTAGGCCGTCTTGGGGACCTCCTGAAGGCCTCTTGGGCCGTCTTGGGCGCCACTGGGGCCGTGTTGTGGCTCTCCTGGGGGCCTCATGGGCCGTCTTGGGGCGGTCTTGGGGGCCTCCTGGGCCATCTTCGAGCGTCGGGAGCTCGAAAACCCGAGGACCCCAGAATCATTAAAGAAAACCATTGAAACTTGGGGGAAGACTCTTGGGGCTTTCTTGGGGCGTCTCGGACGCCTCTGGGGCTGTGTTCGTGCCATCTTTGGCTTCTTGGTGCGATCTTGGGGCGTCTCGGTGCCCTCTTGGATCGTCTTGGGGGCCTCTCGGAGTCCTCTTGGCCCGTCTTGGGGTCCTCTCGGGCCCGAACAAAACACGCGAGAAGACGCGCTAAACTCCAGACCCCAGGGGGCACGCGAGAAGCCCTGGTGGATTTGGGGCCCGGGTCCCTCACAACGACTCCTCAGGAGCGACGATTGAGGCGTAGGGGACGGGGCAGAGGACCCGATGACGCGCCCACTCCGTCCCCGAGATCCGACGCAGCGAAAGAGATCTGCAACATCGTGAGGGATCACGCCCGGAGCCCCAGGCCTCAGCTTCCTGCGCGAGTCTTCGAGCCCGGGATCGAGCTGTGAGGGTCCTTGGGGCCCGAGAGAGGCGACAAACGCCCGGCTCGGAACACCTGAGGCGCCAGGAGCTCAGGTGTTGCCCCGCGGCACGGTGGCGGACTTCTTCGAGACAGATCGTGGATACGCTGGGTTCCCCCCCCAATGAGGCACTGCGGGCTCGCGCCGCGCCGCCGCGGCGGCGGCGCGAGCGCTGGCGTTCCAGGCGAAGCGCCGCCCGGGGCCCAGAATCCGCCCGACGTCGGGCGGTGCGGCGCGATCGGCAAGCCGCGCTCGTTCCAGGCTGCACGCCCCGCGCGGCGTCGGAAACCGGCGCCGAGGCCGTCGCGCAACGCCAACCCGCCACGGGGAGCACAGCTCCCCCAGTTTCAAGGCGGGCCTGTCCCCCGACAGGGGGATCCTCGACGAAACATAAATAAAAGTACCCCTCAAATGCCCCCACACTGAACCCCAGTTTCACCACCCACCAAACCACCCCAACCCAACCCGAAGGCCTCAGTTTGCTCTCCATTTCCAGTGGGGGTGGGTCCGGGAACGTCGAGGAAACCCATATGGAACCCGTACCCCCCCCCCCACCCGAAATTCGGGTCTTCGGGTTGGGTCGGGGTGGTCTGACAGGTAGTCACAGTTGTGGCTGGCCCGCTCTCGGGTCCCCGAGATCGCCCCCCACCCCCCCCCCCGCGGCAGGAGCGCGCCTTCACGGGGCACGGCTGGGACGTCAAGTGCTGCGACTGGAGCCGGGGGGAGCCTCCTCCTCCTCCTCCTTCTCCTCCTCCTCCTCCTTCTCCTCCTCCTCCTCCTCCTCCTTCTCCTCCTCCTCCTCCTCCTCCTCCTCCTCCTCCTCCTCCTCCTCCTCAGGGGTTCTGGCGGGTGGAGGGGGGCGCGGTGCCCGGCCCGACCCCGGCACACCCCGGGCTCGAGGAGGGGCGGGAGGATCAGGAGGGTGCGGAGGAGGCGGAGGCGGAGTCGGAGTCGGAGTCGGAGTCGGAGGCGGAGGCGGAGGCGGAGTCGGAGTCGGAGTCGGAGTCGGAGTCGGAGTCGGAGTCGGAGGAGGAGGAGGAGGAGGCGGAGGAAGAGGAAGAGGGATGACGATGATGATGACGCTGCTGCTGCTGCTGCTGATGATGATGATGCTGATGCTGATGCTGCTGCTGCTGCTGCTGCTGATGATGATGATGATGATGATGATGATGATGATGATGATGCTGATGCTGATGATGATGATGATGATGAGGATGAGGATGAGGATGAGGATGATGATGATGATGATGCTGATGATGATGATGATGATGATGATGATGCTGATGATGAGGATGAGGATGAGGGAGGATGAGGATGAGGATGAGGATGATGATGATGATGATGATGATGATGATGATGATGATGGTGTTGGTGGTGGTGGTATTGTTGTTGTTGGTGGTGGTGTGTGATGATGATGCTGATGCTGATGCTGATGATGATGATGATGATGATGATGATGATGATGATGATGATGATGCTGATGCTGATGCTGATGCTGATGCTGATACTGATGCTGATGATGCTGATGCTGATGCTGCTGCTGCTGCTGCTGCTGATGATGCTGATGATGATGATGATGATGATGATGATGATGGTGGTGGTGGTGGTGGTGGTGGTATTGTTGTTGTTGTTGTTGTTGTTGGTGGTGGTGGTGATGATGATGATGATGATGATGATGATGATGATGATGATGATGATGATGATGATGATGATGATGATGATGATGATCAAGACGACGACGAGGAGGAGGAGGAGGAGGAGGAGGAAGAGGAGGAGGAGGATGAGGAGGAGGCGTCTGGCGGCTGGACGTTTTCTGGACCACCCAGCGGGTGCGGTGCAACGCGTTGGCAGCCCGGCGAGGCGCGGCGGCGGGGACGGTGCGAGGGGGTGGGTCGGGGGACGCCAGCTATGCACCTGCGCCGATCGTGGCTTCCGCGTCATTCGGGCGATCGTAAACATGGATCAAGGGGGCGTGGATTAGCGACGGGTCCCGTTTCCATGGGAAATCGCGGATGTCCGTCTCCGAACGAGGCGGCACCCGCCGCATTTTGGGGAGGGCACCTCCCCCGATCTATGAATTTGGTGACCGCGCGTCAAATCCATGGATCGTTAATCCATGTTTGCGCGCCCCCGAGTCATTGGGGTCTCGATGCGGGAACAAGCAAAAGCCTGCACCGGTCGTGGCCAGGTCCACTGTAGACCCAGAGCTGCCAAGCGGGGTCGAAGTGCGAAGATAGCCGCAAGGCTATGGTAAGTATGCGAGTGATGGGTTAGACTCTGCGAAGGCTGGCAATCATATGTTGCTTATCGAGGCAAGCGATTATCTCTCCCGATACGCCCAAGCTCAAGGGCCCTGAAAAGGATTGAGCCCAAATGAATACGGAAGGCATGTTACCGACCGTCTTAGTAATGAAGCAACTACTGCACTTGCTGCTCGACGCTATTGCTACACTGCTTACAGATCAGCGCTGAGCCCACGTATTTTACACTCGTGCAGAATTATCATGATCTGTGCATCTACCGGCCTGAATCATTTAGACGTGTCATTCGCACGTCAACAAGCTAAGTGATCAGGCGCACTGCGCGCTCAACTAAGACACCTGCACTGCTGATGTGTGCTTCATGGTCCGTGGCCTGGTCCCTCGGCTCCTGATGCTGCAAAGCGAGGCGCGTGTCTCGTAGCACTGCCCTGATGGCACTGCCGTCCGATCGCTTTGTGAACTGATCACCGAGCTGCGGGTCCGTAGGAACCCAGGACAGAGTCAGCTGAGTACGCTGATCGTCAGCCATCAACTCATTGCTGACCTCCTTTTCTAAAGATTCCTTGAGACCCTCTCGGTCTAGCAGAAGGCGGCACTCTGACGGGAGCTTGGAGTAACCGTCCTTGTGCATGGTGTCGTACAAGCTAGCGCAGTCTGTGACCTGTGCGAGCGGCAGCAAACTCGGCGGGATGTCCTCTGGACGGGCATCCGGTATCTCCAGCGGTGCAAAGACACAGCGAGTGACCTGAGCACAGCCTGGAGCATCTACTGCTGACGTCTGCCAGGGCAGACCTGCAGACTCGTTTGGATGGTGCCCGATCTCCGATCTGCGGCACCCGCTCGGGCTCGTCCTCCCGACAACCGCTCGGCTTCCGCGAGGAACGCCACCTGGCCGGCCTTCGAGCGGACCTGGACCTTCTTGTCCTTACTGCCTGATCCCACCAGCTTCGAGAGAAGCTTGAATACCGTTCCCTCGGGTGGCTCGTCGGCATTGGCCCAGCTGGCGTCGTGGCAGGTGACCGAGCAGAGCGGGCCGCGCAGCTTCGGAAGCTCCAAACCGGCTTTCGCGTGCTTCCTCGCCAGCTCGATGAGCCGATTCGTCTCGAGCAGGTCCTGGACGGTGGGTTTGTTCTGCGTGCGCTGCCCCATGGCCACTCCGGCCGCCAGATCTGGCGGAGTCTGGTAAGAAAGCCACCCGAGCGCTCCAAGAGCGGAGCGGTCGTCCGAAAACTCGTCTGGCGTCGCCTCCGCCGTCAGCTCCGTCTTACGCTCCGTGGTGAGCGAGATCTCCTCGATGGTGTTCGCGTACTCGGTCTGTCGTAGATGTAGCGCTCCTCCATCGTCTCGCCACACCTGCTTGCCACAGAAGGTGAAAGGCCAGCCTCTCCAGTCGCTCCACGGCAGGAGCCTGCAGAGCTTATCGTACATTCCCGAATACTTCGGCGAAATGCCCAGCAGTAGGTCGTCCACGTGGGCAACTACCACCGCGCACAGCTCCCTGTGCTGGTCGAAGCCGTAGTACGACGCTGGATCCAGCGAGTGCTGACGTAGGCGGAACACGAAGTTGTCCGTGAGCGCCTCCTTCACCGCAAGCATGTCGGGTTGAGCTTCGCCCACCATTGCCTCGGTGCGGTGGTCAGTCCGAAGACTCCCTTGAGGATCTTGATCAGCTGCTTCGGGTGTAGGCCTGGTACGTCCTCGCGGGGCTGCGCCATGAACAGCTGCTGGTCCTGCTGCTCGTCGCCTTGCAGGAATTCCGCCAAGTCCGCCGCGTAGATCCCCAGGTCGAACCTCTGGCAGAGAGTGAAGAACATGGTGGAGTTACGGGAAACCGTAGGCGCGTCCGTGCGCAAGTCGCCCATGGCCAGCTGGGGGTCCATGTGACCTCCGACGCAGAGCCAGGCCTTGGCCTTGACCGTCAGCGGGTGCTTGGCGGTACGCAGCGGCGCGTTCTTATCCAGGTAGACGAGCCGGCTGGGCAGGATTGAGATGGGCTTGACCATGCCTCTGTCGATGTAGCAGGCATCATATGTGATCTCTGCAAGGCGGAGCCGCCAGGGGGTAGGACATTTGCCGCTTCGCGCCCATCCAGGGAGGAGCCAAGGGAGGTTGCACCTGCCTGTCCGCGCGTAGAGAATGTTGGGATACCCATGGCAGTTCGCTGGCTTTGGCACCCCCAACCTCTCCTCCGTTCCGAGCCTCGTTATCGCAGCGATGTGGTAGGCAGACCCCGACGGGGGAGCCGCCAGGGTGCGGTAACCACCCGGATCGTGGGAGCCCTCTTTTTTGGGCGGTGCGCCCAAGGGGGGTGGGGCGGGGGGAGGGCTTCGTAGAGGGAGGCTGCTTCTCAGAAGGCGCCGGTCTTACATCTATACAGATGAGGCCCGCGCCTTCTGAGAAGCAGCCCACCCCCCCCTGCGCGTGGCTGGCTTTTCCAAGGGCCGCAGCAGCATCCTGATGTGGCAGGCAGGAATGGCACTTGGGCACGCCAGAGGGGGGCTGTCACGGGTCGCTCGGTCGCCACAGGCGAAGGCCTTCGCATTCCGACGCTCACAGATCGGTCCGCGAGGGTCCCAAGGGGCCCGAAGCGGGGCGAAAATGCCGTGCGCGAAACAGCTGCGACGCCCAGATCTCAGGGCCATGGCGCCAACATCGCAGAGCGGATTTCGGTCGGGAAACAATAGGATGGGCCCAGAGTGTCCTGGAGAATTCCGTTTCGGATTTCGAGGTGAGTTTCGTGCGTTTTTTTTGGGGCCAGGAGTGAAGATAAACAAAAATCCTCACGGAATTCACCTCGTTTTTCACTCGCCGTTTCGGGGTCTTACATTGAGAGAAATCCACGCAGAAATCCGCTCCAGCTCGTCTGCAAGGTCGGTGCAGTGATCATGGTTTGTCCGCTCCGAGGTCAGCGGGCGGAGCAAACGCACAGGGCCCATTCCCCCTGGAGCCATGATTTTTTCACGGCGTGGACTCCCAGCGGTCTGGATCCCCTCCGTGGGACCCCATCTTTAATCCCGAGTCCTTCTCGGACGGTCCCGGGGCCCGGCGAGGGCCCCCGGGGGTCGAAAGTTACCAAAAGCCTTCCGTCGTGATTTATTCCAGACACTCCATTTGGAGTTGGGTCCTCGTTTTGAAGAGACAGCGCCTTGCGTTCACTCCTCACTCCTCCGCCCCCTCCCCCTCCTCCCATCTTCATCATGTCCTCTTCATCATCACCATCATCATAATCACCACCACCACCACCACCACCACCACCACCATCATCATCATCATCATCATCATCATCATCATCATCATCATCATCATCATCATCATCATCATCATCATCATCATCATCATCATCATCATCATCATCATCATCATCATCATCATCATCATCATCATCATCATCATCATCATCATCATCATCATCATCATCATCATCAGCATCAGCATCAGCATCAGCATCAGCATCAGCATCAGCATCAGCAGCAGCATCATCATCATCATTCTCATCATCCGATGCCATTTTGGCTCAAGGTTGGGGACAGGCCCCAGGTTGAGTGCGGCAGCCTTCCGCGAAAAGGCGTTCCTGAGGTCAGACTCAGGCGGTCACCCTTGTTCTCTGCTCTTCTCCTGTGTCGTTGCAGCCATGGCGACGGAGTTGAGCGCTGTCCTTGAGGAGATGAGGAAAATGACATCGGCTTTCAGACTCACACTGCGCAGGTGTCTGAGATGAAAGAATGCTTTTCCAAGTTCAAGGGTGATATCACGAAAGAGGTAAAAAACGACCATCGATAAGTGTACTGCGACTCTAGAGGAGCGGATGACGATGCTGGAGAATAAGCTGGCCAACGCTGGCTCTTCTGCTGGTGCCCCATCGACAGTGTCCCAAGGGGGTCACAAACGGCGTCTTCTCTCTAATGGTCTGAGCTCTGCTGTGGGCACTACCGCGGCGGATTCTGATGATTCCAAGGTATGGATAAATTGTTGGCCTCGCCCTGTGCTTTGTACCCAGCGAGAGAAATGGCATAACGAAATGGTGGCACAAATTCCTGCTGAGAAACGTACGTGGACTGAGACTTACTTCGCCGCCATCAGTCAGAGTTATATGGCTCAGTTCGAGAATGCAGAGGCTGCTAAAGAGCTTCGCACCATGTTCAATCGTAGCAATGCCACATGGTCTGATCCGCGCTCGCAGGTGAAGTTCCATATCAAAGTTCGCCAAGATCTGCCTGAAGACGTTCGAGTTCGTCAGCGGGCACTTGCCAAATACTACGACCCGATCAAACAGCACCTGATCGCCAAGACTCTGTGGACACAGGATATGCGCATGTCTGGTAACGGTTTCAGGAATGAGTTCTGGGTCATCAAGCAAGAGGAAGTATACCCTGTGTTAAAGGCTGAGGTTGGCTCTCTCGGCCGATACAATGTCGTGCCCAACCCGTCCGAGATTCAGGCTCTCGGCATGGGCCTGCGTACCATCACCGCCATCGTTGCCAGCCTCGCTTCTTCGCAATAGGAGGCGAGCTCGTCACATGGACGAGACTATCCCGATTTGTCGCTCCGCCAGTAAGGGGTGCTGGCGTTGAGCAATTTCATGCTACAGTGAACGTCTATTCTTCTTCACCGTCTTCCTCCTCTTCCTCTGGCGCATATGATGACGATTGTACGTTCGAATCCGATTGCCTGGTGCAACATTCTCGTTCCCACTCATACTCTGTCAAGCAAAGTTTCAAACGCTTTACCTGGAACGTCCAGTCTCTCTTCCTCGTCCTTGGTTGTGTGTCCTCGCGGAAGGACTTCAAGTGGAAGCGATCACATACTATCGCTCGTGGTATTACATGTGTTCTTCTCCAAGAAACGCATCGACACGAGGGTGATCTTCACTCCTTGCGTTCGGATTTTTTTATGTTCGAGTGCTACGTGAGTTTCTTACCCTCGCATAGTGGAGGTACTATGGTGATGATTCGCAAATCTTTTCTGGCTCTTCTTCTGGGTGCTTATAGTCATGGGATTGCCTACAAACGTTGTGCGCTGTATCCGTGCGCTCTACAAGTATATCCGCACTTCGATCGTTTTCTCTGGGGCTGTCCTCATGGGCTCCACCGTCCTCTCTGGGATAAAGCAGTGTTTCCCAATGTCTAGTTTAGTATTCGCTTTGGCTCTTGATCCTGTGGTCCGTCGTATGGGTGCCATTCCTCCACGGCCGTTATCGTTCATCAAGTGTATCGCAGACGATCTGGCTCTCGTATCGAGGGGGTTGTATCGCGTTCTTCCTACGCTTCTCCAGCTTATAATTTCATGTGGGTATGCCACTGGTCTTATGATCAACTCTTGGAAGACACTTATTATCTTTCTCTTCCCTCGGGATCGCAATCAGATCTCCGAACGCCTGATGTCCGCCGGCCTGGTCGCCACCAATCTGCAGTTTGTCGACGTGGGCACTTATCTTGGCATGCGCAATGGGCTGAATGATTTTTCTGAATCCTGGAGGCGGCCGATAGAGAAATTCCGTTCCCAGTTATCCTGATGCAAAAAATTTAACACTGGACTCACACAGACAATGATAGGCTATACTGTGTTGGCTATGAGTGTCCTCATGTATGTCGCACAATTCCTCGCGCCGACTGAACTGGTTCGGCGGTGTCAGTGTGAAGGGCTTCAAGGGGTTATTGGCTGGCCGCGTCGCTCTCGGTACTCTGACTTTGTGTATCGGGTAAAAGAACTTGGTCTCCCTGTGCAAGCGGTGGTTCTCGTCCGTTATGCTGCTGCAGTTCAATATCGGTTGGTTCGGCGCTCTGGTGTCTCCAAAGGCTCCTTGACGAGTGCCATGATATTCCGAATGGCAGTAACTGGTTGGTCAACAGTATGTTTTAGCTATTTCATGACAATTGGAGGCGGCTCAACTGTTTACCACGCGCCCCCGGCGACCCGTGGCGGAAGGATTTTCAGAAATGTGTTCTTGTTCAATTGAGTATGCATGAGGCTCCAGTGACAGCGTATTGACAAGCCCGAATGAAATATTGGATGAAGGATTGCCGCATCGATTGTAACGTTGCTACCTTGAGGCTTATCCGCATGGCAATGATCTCCGCGCAGTTGCACTGCTTCGCTCTCGTCAGTGTTCTCATGACTGTGGGCAACGGACGGGCTACATCCGCTCGATATTGTCCACTACGTGATGAGCGTCGGTTTGGAGGTGAGGCCAGCTTGTGTGACGCCATCCCTCATTATTTCTCTTGCTCGCAAATAGTTAATGCTGTTTCACATCTTCTGCCGTGTATGCCTGTCTCATACTTCCTCGGTGTTCCCTGGGAGCGTTTCCTGCCGCGTTTATTTGTTTGGGGGACCTCTGATGGGGCTCTGTAGTATCGTTGCTGGGTTTAAGCTCGCACACACTCTGTGTATATTAGAATGCGTGCACGTGTTTGATACAGTACTGTTCTCTTTCATTGTCTCTTGCATGCCCTTGCACGTCAGCTTCTGCGCCGCCGTTAGTGTCGCGTGTCTCTGTTTTCGCTTTTCCCTGCTTGCGCTTGTTCGCTGTCGCTGCCCAGCCGATCGCCTGCTGACTTGGCGCGTCGCCATCGGGCGGATGTTCTGCCCTTGTCTCGCTTCTTGTCCGCTTGCCCTCTTCGCGTCTTGCCCTCTTCTCGCCTCTTGTCCGCTTGCCCTCGTCTCGTCCCTTGCCTTCAAGGTGAGCATTGATCATCATCATTCTCACCGTCATCATAATCATCATTATCAGCATAATCATCATCGCCATCATTTATGACCATCACCATCACCATCACCATCATCATCACCATCACCATCACCATCACCATCACCATCGCCATCACCATCACCATCACCATCACCATCACCATCACCATCACCATCACCATCATCACCACCATCATCATCATCGCCACCATCATCATATACACCATCATCATTATCATCATCATCGACATCACCCGCATCATCAGCATCATCAGCATCACCATCATCATCATCACACTCATCATCATAATCGTCGTCGTCGTTGTCGTCGTCGTCGTCATCATCATCATCAACATCATCATCGTCGTCGTCGTCACCATCATCATGATTTGCCCGTCTCGGTAATTACACCTCTCACACGTTTCGTGCGCCCGTAGGGAGCTCCACCAAGTGCGTCCGTAGCGCAGTTCGCATGTGGGCGTCACGTCCGTGTCAGCGCGCCATTGGCACGCTTCGTGGCCCCCATATGGAGCTCCATCCAACGCCTGCGCAGCGCAGTTCGCATGTGGGCGTCACGCCCATTTCGGCACACCATGCACACGCTTCGTGGTCCCATAGAGGGAGCTCCACCGAGTGCCTCCGTGGCGCAGTTCGCGTGTGGGCGTCGCGCCCATTTCGGCACCCCTCTCACGCGTATCGTGGCCCCATTTTGGAAGCCCCACCGAGTGCTTCCGCGGTGCAGTTCGCATGTGGGCGTCACGCCCGTTTCCGCACACCCCTCGCGCGTTTCGTAGCCCCATAGGGGGCTCCACCCAAGGCCTCCGTAGCGCAGTTCGCATGTGGGCGTCACGCCCGTTTCGGCACATCTCTCTCGCGTTTCGTGGCCCCATCTAGGAAGCTCCACCGAGTGCCTCTGTGGCGCAGTTCGCATGTGGGCGTCGTGCCCCTTTCGGCACACCCGTCACGCGCTTCGGGGCCCCAGGAGCTCCGCCGAGTGCCTCCGTGGCGCAGTTCGCATGTGGGCGTCACGCCCATTTCGGCACACCTCTCGCGCGTTTCGTGGTCCGATAAGAAGCTCCACGGCTGCCTCCGCGCCGCAGTTCGCGTGTGGGAGTCACGCCCATCTCGGCACACATCACGCAGTTTTTTCCTCCATAGGTTGCTCCACCGAATGCCGCAGTGGCGACGTTCGCATGTGGGCGTCACGTCCGCTTCGGCACAATACTCACACTTTCCGTGGCCCCATATGGAGCTCCACCGAGGGCCTCCGTGGCGCAGTTCGCATGTGGGCGTCCCGCCCATTTCGACACACCATTACACGCTTCGTGGCCCCATATGGAGCTCCACCGAATGCCCCCGTGGCGCAGTTCGCATGTTGGAGTTACGCCCATTTCGGCACACCCCACACGCTTCGTGGCCCCAGAAGGGGGCTCCACCGAGTGCCTCCGCGGCACAGTTCGCATGCAGTTCCCCACCCCGTTCGGCACACCATTCATACACTGCGTGGCCCCATAGGGAGCTCCACCGAGTGCTTCCGCGGCGCAGTTCGCATGCGTTTCCCTGCACATTTCGGCACACCATTCATACGCTGCGCAACCCCATGAGGAGCTCCACCGAAACTGATGGGCGCATCGCGTTACTCACAACAGCTGCACATGGTTGGGTCTCTAGCCAGGATATTTTCGCGATGCGAGGGGGCCTGTGGGATCAGCAAGTGGAGCAGGAACATTCTCGGGGGGAGGAGGAGCAATGGGGGATGAGGAGGAGGAGGATGAGGGGGATGCCAGAGGAGGAGGAGGAGGAGGAGGAGGAGGAGGAGGAGGAGGAGGAGGAGGAGGAGAGGAGGAGGAGGAGGAGGAGGAGGAGGAGGAGGAGGAGGAGGGAGGAGGGAGGAGGAGGAGGAGGAGGAGGAGGAGGAGGAGGGAGGAGGAGGAGGAGGAGAGGAGGAGGAGGAGGAGGAGGAGGAGGAGGAGGAGGAGGAGGAGGAGGAGGAGGAGGAGAGGAGGAGGAGGAGGAGGAGGAGGAGGAGGAGGAGGAGGAGGGGAGGAGGAGGAGAGGAGGAGGAGGAGGAGGGAGGAGGAGGAGGAGGAGGAGGAGGAGGAGGGAGGAGAGAGGAGGAGGAGGAGGAGGGGAGAGGAGGAGGGGAGGAGGAGGAGGAGGAGAGGAGGAGGAGAGATGAGGAGGAGGAGAGGAGGAGGAGGAGGAGGAGGAGGAGGAGGAGGAGGAGGAGGAGGAGGAGGAGGAGGAGGAGGAGGAGGAGGAGGAGGAGGAGGATGAGGAGGAGGAGGAGGAGGAGGAGGAGGAGGAGGAGGAGGAGGAAGGAGGAGGGAGGGGGGAGGAGGAGGAGAGGAGGAGGAGGAGGAGGAGGAGGAGTGGAGGACAGTCAGGAGGCGGAGGAGGAGGAGGAGGAGAGGAGGGGAGGAGGAGGAGGAGGAGGAGGAGGAGGAGGAGGAGGAGGAGGAGGAGGAGGAGGAGGAGGAGGAGGAGGAGAGAGGAGGAGGAGGAGAGAGAGGAGGAGGAGGAGGAGGAGGAGGAGGAGGGGAGAGGGAGGAGAGAGGGGAGGAGAGAGGAGGGGAGGAGGAGAGGAGGAGGAGGGGATAAGGGAGGAGGAGGAGGAGGAGGAGGAGAGGAGGAGGAGGAGGAGAGGAGGAGGAGGAGAGAGGAGGGAGAGGAGGAGGAGGAGGGAGTTGCCGGGCCTCTGATGGCCTCGCCCTTCCCCCCTCCCCCTCGGCATGAGCAGAAGGTTAGTGCGTTCCGTGCCGTGCTTTGCGCACGGCAGGTTCGTGTCGTGTCGACGCGGTGACGACCCCAGCTACTGTTGCTAGGCATGAAGAGAACGGGTCCTCCAGGAAACGGGCCCTGGATCCTCGGGCTTCCCCCGGGGCCGATAGCTCATCCTGAGACAGCTGGTCCACGGTCCTGGGGCCCGCGGATGGAGGAGGAGGAGGACGAGAAGTGAGGAGGGAGGAGGGAGGAGGCTGAGGAGGACGAAGGGTGAGGAGGACGAGGAGGAGGAGGACGAGGAGGAGGACGAGGAGGAGGAGGGTGCGAGCGGGGCCCCCGCTCGACCTCCCAGGGGGGCGACGAGGGAGCCGCCCGGAGCCCGGGAGCGGCAGGCACTCGACGAAGGGGTTGGTGGCGACGGGTTCGAAGGACCGCCGCCGTGGCTCTCCACTTGGTGTAGGAGGAGGGAGGAGGAGGAAGGAGGAGGAAGGAGGAAAAGGGAAGAGGAAGGAGGAGGAAGGAGGAGGAAGCAGGAGGAGGAAGGAGGAGGAGGATGAGGAAGGAGGAGGAAGGAAGAGGAGGATGAGGAGGAGGAGGAGGGGAGGAAGAGGAGGAATAATGAGGAAGGAAGAGAGAAGGAATGAGGAAAGAAGAGGAAGGAGGAGGAGAGGAGGAAGGAGGGAGATGAGATGATGAAATGATGATGATGATGATGATGATGAGAGATGATGATGATGATGATGATGATGATGATGATGATGATGATATGATGATGATGATGATGATGATGATAGGATGATGATGAGGATGTGATGATGATGATGATGATGATGGAATGATGATGATGATGATGATGATGATGATGATGATGATGAGATGATGATGATGATGATGATGATGATGATGATGATGATGATGAGATGATGAGGAGGAGAGGAGGAGGGGAGGAGGAAGGAGGAGGAGGAGGAGGAGGAGGAGGAGGACGAGGAGGAGAGATCCAGATATTGTGGAGTACCTCGGGGTCGAAGGCGCGCGCGCGAGGCTTTCACACTGAGTGCGCGCGTGTGTCTTTGAATGCTCTGCCTACTCTGTGGGGTGCTTCTCTCCCTCCTTGTCCTCCTTCTGTTCTGCTCCTCCTCAGAACAGGCACGGTTCTTTGTTTTTTTCCCAAGTCCCCCCCCCAAAAAAGCAAAACAAATTTGGTCATTTTGTTTTGTTGCTCCTGCTCCTCCTCCTCCTCCTCTTCCCCTCCCCCTCCAACAGGGCATGGGGAGTTGGCCTACCCGAGCAGCGGCTTCTCTTGATTGTCCAACCGTTTGGCCTCGCGCCGCGGGCGACCCGCGCGCGCCGCCGGAATCCTCTCGGGGCGACCAGCACGCGTCGCGGGAACTTCGTGTTGCGCTCAGTCCAGCGCCTCGCTCGCCCGTCGTCGCCCTGTCCAGCGGCTGGAGCCCTACCCGCTATCAGCCAGCCAGCTAGCTCGCTTTGCTCCGCGCAGCGGACGGGCCGCGCTCCTCGCTGGGACCCCTTCGGGGCGACTGGCGAGCGTCGCGGGGGCTCAGCGCTGCGCTGCGCCCGCAGCCTTGGACTTTGGATTGCGCGGGCAAGGAGCGAGGGAAAATAAGGGAAGGCCCATCTTGGACAGTCTAGTTGTTCTTGTGCCCCCCTCTAATCGGACCGATCGCGGACAGAGGAAACCGCGCCGAAGGTCCTATAGGAAGCGCCGAAGTCCCCAGTGGCAGCGCCTGCGTGCCGCCGCCATCTCACTTTGGCACACACGGTGCGCACTTCGTGCCCCCATAGGGAGGGAACTCCACCGAAGACGATGTTCACGACTGCAGTATTCGCAGCTGCGCATGGTTGGGTTCTTCGCTTGGGTCAATATCCTCAGCCGCCGCCGCCGCCCCTCCCCCTCCAAATTCACGGTGGCGGCTTCCAGCGTGATTTCATCATTTGCAGCGCAGCTATGGAAAGAGATGGGGAACAAGTGTTGTTTTCACGCGGGGTAGAACGCGACGATAATTCCAAATTCGGAGTGCTGCGGCCCCTTCCGCCCGTCCCCCCACGGACGCGCTCCACCGCGACGGGAACGGCTCGCTCGCTCGCTCGATCGTGCGTGGGTGGGTGGGCGGACCCCCCACATGTGCGGCGAGGATTCGGGTGGACGCCCCTGCAGATATCCCGCCAGGCATGTCCTGCATGCCCACAGGGACGATCTAAGGCTTCCCGAAGCCGTCGATGCTCGCTCCAGTGCTCTGCTACATACATTGGGTACACTCCAAGACATGGCCGGCGTCATCGCACGGAACCGCGATCACAGGAAGTAGGGAGGCAGGAGGAGGGAGGTGGAGGAAAAGGAGGAGGACGAGGAGGAGGGGGAGGAGGAGGAGGAGGAGGAGGAGGAGGAGGAGGAAGAGGAGGGGAAGGAGGAGGGAGGAGGAGGAGGAGGAGTAGGAGGAGGAGGAGGAGGAGGAGGAGGAGGAGGAGGAGGAAGAGGAGGAGGAGGAGGAGGAGGAGGAGGAGGAGGGGAGGATGAGGAGGAGGAGGAGGAGGGAGGAGGAAGAGGAGGAGAAGGGAGGGGGAGGAGGATGATGATGAGGAGGAGGAGGAGGAGGAGGAGGAGGAGGAGGGAGGAGAGGAGGAGGAGAGGAGGAGGAGGCGAGAGGAGGAGGGCGAGTAGGATGAAGAGGAGGAGGAGGAGGAGGAGGAGGAGGAGGCGGAGGAGAGGAGGAGGAGGAGAGGAGGAGGAGAAGAGGAAGAGGAGGGAGGAGGAGGAGGAAAAGGAGGAGGAGGAGGAGGAGGAGGAGGACGAGGACGAGGACGACGAGGACGAGGAGGAGGAGGAGGAGGAGGAGAGGAGGAAGAGGAGGAGGAGGAGGAGGAGGAGGAGGAGGAAGAGGAGGAGGAGGAGGAGGAGGAGGAGGAGGGGGAGGGGGAGAAAGAACAAGAGGAGGAGGAGGAGGAGGAGGAGGAGTAACTGTGCGCACAGTGCTGCGCGCCCCCTCCCCAGGACTCGCAGATCAAGCTTTGGGATCCCCGCGCGAGCGAGGCCGGATTCTCTCTCTGTCCTCCCTCCTTCTCGGGCTTCGGCGTCGTCGTTTTCTACGCCGTCGTCGTCGTTCTTGCCTTCCTCCCGTCTTCCTTTTGCCCTCGTGGTCGTCCTCGTCCTTGCACCCCTCATCCCCCCCCCGCCTCCTTCTGCCACGCCCGTCGCCCCTGCGCCGATTGCCGAATCTCTCTCCCTCTCTCTCCCGCTTTCTCCGCTCTCATTACATAAATAGTTTGTGACTGCCCCCTCATTCGTATTCCAGCAATCCTCCCAATTTCTCTTAGTATCTCCCCTCCTCCCTCTTTATGTTTGCCTTTCCCATTATCCATCATTATCTTTTGTCACCTCCATTTAATCTTCTCCTCTGTCCTGCAATGTCCTGCTTAGATCGAAGGCACCTACGGCGACTCACCGCCGCCCCCTGTCTTTTTGGAAGCGTCTGTGTGGCCGAACGTTGTGGCCATGACTCGATCAAGCTATCGGACTATCTGTTCCCCCAGCCGTTGTGAAAACTCTTCGGGGAACACGTGGGGGGGAATCATATTAATGATGCGAATGCTAAGTACATGAGCAAATCGCAAGAATATTCATATGAATATGACCAATAAGCTGTTCTTAGGAGCATACATGGGATTGCTTCTACTGTTATTATTACTTCTACTGCTACTGCTACAGCTACTGCTACTACTGCTACTACTATTGTAATTATAAGTGTCATTATTTGAAGTAATACTACTAGTCCTACTATTACCCTATTACTACTACAACGAATCCTCCTACTACTACTACTACTACTACTACTATTCTTTTTGCTAATACTACTGGTACGACGACTACCACTACTACCACTTTCGTACTAGTAATCGTAGTATCAGTAGTAGAAGTAGTAGTAGTAGTAGTAGTAGTAGTAGTAGTAGTAGTAGTAGTAGTAGTAGTAGTAGTGGTAGTAGTAGTCGTAGTCGTAGTAGTAGTAGTAGTAGGAGTAGTAGTAGTAGCAGTAGTAGTTCTGTTAAGAGTATTAGTAGTAGTAGTCGTAGTAGTAGTAGCAGTAGTAGTAGTAGCAGTAAAAGTAGTAGTACCAGTAGTATTCGTAGTAGTAGTAATAGTAGTAGTAGTAGTAGTAGTAGTAGTAGTAGTATTCGTAGTAGTAGTAGTAGTAGTAGTAGTAGTAGTAGTATTCGTAGTAGTAGTAGTAGTTAGTAGTAGTAGTAGTAGTAGTAGTAGTCGTAGTAGTAGTAGTAGTAGTAGTAGTAGTAGTAGTAGTAGTAGTAGTAGTAGTAGTCTAGTAGTAGTAGTAGTAGTAGTAGTAGTAGTAGTAGTCGTAGTAGCAGTAGTAGTAGTAGTAGTAGTAGTAATAGTAGTAGTAGTCGTAGTAGTAGTAGTAGTAGTAGTAGTAGTAGTAGTAGTAGTAGTAGTAGTCAGTAGTAGTAGTAGTAGTAAGTAGTAGTAGTAGTAGTGTAGTAGTAGTAGTAGTAGTAGTAGTAGTAGTAGTAGTAGTAGTAGTAGTAGTCGTAGTAGTAATAGTTTTGGTAGTGGTACTAGTAGTAGTAGTAGTAGTAGTAGTAGTAGTAGTAGTAGTAGTAGTAGTAGTAGTGCGAACATTGCGAATCGTAGTACTACGATTACTAAGTCTACTACTACTCACCGCAGCACTATTAGTAATACTAGTAGTAAGAGTACTGATAGCTATGCTACTTTTCTTAATATTATTAATGATGGTACCACTAACAATCAATACTCAAAGCCGTACTAGTAATAATAAACATATTAACACCATCGTTACTTTTAAGAGCAATCATAATAAACATACTAAGAACACAACGATAAGAGTAAGCAGTCTGATACTACTACTACTACTACTACTGCTACAACTACTACTGCTCATACTAATAGTGATACTAGTAGTCGTAATACTAATATTAATAGTAATACTACTAATGATAAGGGTAACAGTAGTAATACTAAGGATATTAATGATACTAGTGATACTAGTGTTAATAATGATAATAATGATTATACTGATAATAACGCTAATAATGATAATAATGCTAATAATGATAACAATTATAATAATGTTAATAATGGTAATACTAATTCTAATAATAATATTAATGGTTCTAGTAATGCGACTAATATTTCACATGATAATATAGAGAAGAGGGAGGCAAAGGAGGAGGAGGCTTCTTGGGAGCCTATTGGGACAATCTTGGGGTCTCCTCGGAGCCTCCAGGAGGTCTCTCAGAGGCCTCTTGGAGGCCTCTTCGGTCCTCTTGGGGGCATTTGGGAGCTTCTTGGGGGCCTCTGGCCGTCGTAGGGCGTTCCTGGCACGTCTGACGCAGTCGGAAGCCGTCTTGGGGGCCTCTCTGGGCCGTCTTTGGGCCTTCTCAGGGCGCTCCAGGACCGTCTTGGAGGTCATCTTGGCCGTCTTGGAGGCCTCTTGAGCCGTCTTGGGGCCCTCTTGGGGCCCTCTTGGGGGCCACTTGGGCCTTTCTGGGACCATCTTGGAGGCCTCTTGGGCGATCTTAGGGTGGCTTTGGATGCCTCTTGGGCCGTCGTGGGCCGTCTGACGGCCGACAACAAGCAAATAGCAACATCCTTCAGATACCACAAGACCTCTTGGAGGCCTCGTGGGCCGTCGTGGATACCTCTTGGGGGCCTCTTGGACCGTCTTGGGCCATCTTGAGGCAATCTTGGGCTGTCTTGGGTGCATCTTTGGCCGTCTTGGATCCACCTTGGAGCCATCTTGAGCTCTTTTGGAGCCATCTTGGCCGTCTTGGTGGCTATCTTAGCAGCCGTCTTGGAGGCCATCTTGTGGCCTCTTTGGAGCCATCCGGGGCGGGCAAACCCTTGCCAACCACTCCGCCGGGAGCTTTCCGGCGCACTGAGCCGAAGCCATTGGGGATCTTGAAATGAACCAGCAACCTTTACGAAATCAGGCATGCCAGGCACCTCTTTGATAAATCAACAGGGTGAGGCGGATTGAAGACGCCTACGGCCCATCCCGCCACCGTGCCTGGGATGTGGGTCAGAGTTCGCAGGGATGCTTCTTGGAGTCTATTCGGAGCGCTCTCGGTGGCTTCTTGTGGGCAGTTTTGGGGCCTCTTGGACCGTCTTGGGGGCCTCTTCGGGGCCTCGTGGCCCGTCTTGGGGCCTTCTTGGGCCCGAGAAATTTACGCAACAAGCTGCTGGGAGCCCCCGACAAGCCGCGACAAGCCCCGAGAGATTTGGCAATTTGAGCTCCGGGCCCCTGTAGGATTCCTCAGGAGTCAGTGTTGTAATCCTCTCGTTGGTGTCAATGAGTGGAGCAGAGCTCCGTTAATGTGAGGGCGCAAGTCGAATTCTCTGGTTTGATTCGAAGTAGCGGAGCAGAGCTCCGCTAATGGGAGCGCAGCAAGTGCAATCATTTCGTTCGAGCACAGTCTGTGGAGCGGCGCGCCGCGAATAGGAGCGAAACAATCGTAATCCCTTCGATTGATGGCAATTAGCGGAGCGGTGCTCCGCTAAGGGGAGCAGCGCAATCGTAATCCTTTGGTTCGAGACCAATTAGCGGAGCAGCGCTCCGGTAATGGGGGCGATACCATCGTACCCCCCCAGTTTGAGGCCGACTAGCAGGTCGGCGCTCCGCTGATGGGAGCGAAGCATGTTGCCAACCCATGGTTGGAGGCCGATATGCGAAGCGGCGCTCTGCTAATGGAAGCGAATCAATCTGCCAACCTCATGTTTTGAGGCCGGTTTGCGGGGCAGTGCCCCGCTAATGGGAGCGAACTAGCGGAGCGCCGCTCCGCTAATGGGAGCGAAACAATCGTGCCCCCTGGTTCGAGGCCAATTAGCGGAGCGCCGCTACGCTGATGGGAACGAAGCGATCGTGATCCTGTGGTTCGAGGCCAATTAGCCCAGCGCCGCTACGCTGATGGGAACGAAGCGATCGTGATCCTGTGGTTCGAGGCCAATTCGCCGAGTGCCGCTCTGCTAATGGGAGTGAAGCGATCGTCCCGTCTGGTTAGCGGCCAATTTGCGGAGCGGCGTTCCGTCAATGGGAGAGAAGCAAACGTAGTCCCATGGTTTGATGCTGGTTAGCGGAGCGGCGCTCCGCTGATTGGGGCGAAGCAATTTGCCAATTCCATGGTTTGAAGCCAGTCGTCGGAGCGGCACTTCGCGAAGTGGATTGAAGAGTTTTCTGGAGCCAATTAGCGGAACGACGCTCCACTAATGGGAGCGAAGCAAGCAATGTCGGCGCGCACATGTTGTGGCCCGCTAGCGGCGCATTCGCGGCGCGGCGCTCCGCTAATCCGACGCGGAGCACTCCGGCAATGGTGGTCTGGGTCTAAAGAACCCAGCGGATCTTGGACTGAGGTTCAGCGGATTGTGCAGAAGACTTGAGAAAGAGCGCGTTCTGTGGTCGCTTGGGGGGGGGCGGAACCGGACCCCCCCCCCCTTTTTCTCGCCTACTTCTCCTCTCTCCCTCTCCTCGGGCCAGCGCCTGCGTCGGCGGCGGCTGGCGGCGGCGGCGGGGACGACGATTTCTTTTTCTGGGCCGGCGCCGGCGCCTGCGGCGGCGGGCGGCGGCGGCGGGGAGCGTCGACGACGACGACGGTGGTGGTGGTGGGTTGTGGTGGTGATGGTGGCAGTGATGGTGCTTGTAGTGGTGGTGGTGTGGTGGTTTGTTGTGGTGGTGGTGGTTGTGGTGGTGGGTGGTGGTGGTGGTGTGGTGGTGGTGTGGTGGTGGTTTGTGGTGGTGGTGGTGGTGGGTTGTGGTTTGGTGGTGGTGGTTTGGTGGTGGTGTGGTTGTGGTTTGTGGTGGTGGTGGTAGGTTGTGGTGGTGGCGGTGGTTTGTGGAAGTGGTGCTGGTGGTGGTGATGGTGGCGGCGGTGGTGGTGGTGGTGGTGTGGTGGTTTGGTGGTGGTGGTGGTGGTGGGTTGTGCTGCTGGTAGTGGTGGTGGTTGTGGCGTAGGTGGTGGTGGCGTCGTAGGTTGTGGTGGTGGTGGTAGTGGTGGTGGGTTTTTGTGGTGGTGGTGATGGTGAGTTGTGGTGGTGGTGGTGGTGGTGGGGTGGTGGTGGTGGTGGTGGGTTGGTGGTTGTGTGGTGGGTTGGTGGTGGTGGTGTTGGGTGGAGGCGGCGGTGGTGGTGGTGGTGGTTGTGGTGGTGGTGGTAGTGGTGGTTATTGTCGCTGCGTCCCCGCCGTCGCCGGCGCCAGCGCCGGCGCTTCTGGCCGCCGCCAGCGCCGGCGTCGGCGCCAACCGCAAAGGGGGGGGCTTGAACCCCCCCCCGTTCGGCGCCACGGCGGGGGGGGGTTTTGAACCCCCCCCCTTCGGGCTGCCTCTGGTCATTGTCGCTGCGTCCCCGCCGTCGGCGCTGCTGGCGTCCGCCGGCGCCGGCGCCGGACGGGGGCGGGGGTGTTCAACCCCCCCTCCTTCCCCTTGGGAGGGGTGGTGGTTTCGAAACGCGCCCCCGAGTGTTCCCAAGGCAAGCGCCCGTGAAACGCGATTTTTCAGACTTTCAGACTTGAGAACGCCCCCCTTCCGTGCCCAGGGTCACGGTGGCGTATCCGGATGTATTTTTGTATTCTCGCACATACGTGTGCGCACATGTTTGCGCGTTTGATCAGCGCATATATTTTCATACTCGCCACCCCGAGGTAGTAGAGCTCAGAAACGATTCTTGGTGAAACCGTTCCGTCCGAGATTTTCTGGGTAGTTCTGCTAAGGCCATCTTCAAAACTTTGAGCTTAGGACGCAACCTTCGCGCAGATGTTGCCCCAAGGTCCAACACCCTGGATTCGCATTGCCTTCGTACAGCTTTCCGTTTACGTATGTGTGTACATGTATTTGCACATTTGTGTATATAACATTTGTATATACATATGTACTTGTATAGGTTTGTTTACATTTTTAATGTATATGCACCCGTGTAGATATGTGCATCCGTATACATACAGGTAAGTGTGCGTTCGTGAGTGCAGGTGTATGCAACCGTATATACATATGTCTGTGTTTTCGTATTTGTCAGTGCCTGCGTTCAGGTATGTACATCGGCTTGCATTGACATGTGTGTAGATGTGTGCATCTGTGTATGTGTGTGCGTTCCTTTTTGCTGCCGCCGGTTATTTTGCGTTTTCCAATGCCCAGGCCGCCTGAACGCGCGTTCAGACCGCCATTGCCGTGCTGCGACGTAAACCTACTATGTGTAATGCATGCTTACACGTACACATGCACATACACGTGTATAATCATGTCGTTTATAAATGCATTACATATACATTTACATATATACACATGTTCATACACATATCATATGCATACACATGTGCATCGCCAAATGAGTAAACCACATACGCATGTACATACACATTCGCATACACGTATACACATACACATACACGGACACATACACATACACATACGCGTATACATAATCATACACATCAACATACATACACACGTACACATACACACATACAGACACATAAACATGCACATACACATACACATACACATGCACATACACGAACACGTACACATACACATTCACATACATTTGCACATCGACAAACACATTTAAACATATGATTGTGCATGTACACATGTAGACATGTGAAACCACATACACCAAGTACACAAACGCATACGCCTATGTGTATGTATGCATGCATTTTTGTATATGTGTTTATATGTTTATGTGCACAAATGTTTGTTCGTTGGCGTGGACCCAACACATTGATTTCTTGCATTCCATGAGGTGCTATAGGTGGTGCAATCTATGTGGTGCAGAACGTTTGAAACCAACTGGCAACCCTCCCACCCTCCCACTGTAAGGGGTGTGTCGACATGGTCGGGGGGACGCTGATCCAAGCCTGTTTCCGGGGCCGCAGGTGAAGCGTCTTGAGGGGCACGACCCGTGTGACAATATATGTCCTCCGATGCCGAACACCGTAGAGTGAAAGCAGAGCATGCTAGAACCTAAGCGCGCGCGAAGCGCGCGCGCAGTTCTAGTACATATAGTTATACGCAGACTACGTACACACACATGGGTATCGCCGCCAGTTCTCCTCCTGCTCCTGCTGCTCCTCCTCTTCCTGCTCCTTCCCATTTCCTCTCAAAGGCACTGAAGTGCACAGAGTGATTTTGGTTGCCTGCTTCATTTACCATCGGAACGCCCCCAAACCCTTCTCCCCCTTTCTTCTCCGCGCGCTGGGTCCCCTCAGCCAGGCCATCACGACCATCTTCTGCCACAAGAACACGGTCACCAGAGTGGCCTGGAGCCCCAACGGCCAGTGGCTCGCCAGCGGGTCGCGTCTCTGGCGGATGTAACAAGCGATGGAGACGACGAGCGATGACAGCGATGACTGCGATGCTCGTGCAGAGCAGCCACTGCATCTTGAGCTACCTTGCTGTCGTGGCGGCCGGTGTATGCACTGGGGCGTGCGAGTGCTTGCTGCAGGTGCGGAGACCGGCCCTGGCTCGATTGGGCCAGGGGCACTTGCTTGGCGATGCTGGCCATGTTCAGGAGGCCCCCCCAGGAACGTGTTGCTGTATTGCTTGGGGCATAATGGGCATGATAGCCCCCGGCCCCCCCTCCCCCCCCCTATCACGTGACGCCCCTCCCCCAGTGCGCTCCCAGCACTGTTGCCGTGCGCACGGCGGGGGGGAGGCGTTATATTATATGCCCCCTCCCTGCCCTGCCCCCCCCCCCCCCCCTATAATGCATATTATCGCCGAAAATGAAGAAAAGCGCTCGAGGGGTTTAAAGGGTGGCCTGGCAGCACAGCAAGCACGCAAGATAGGAGGCTGGCCTGTGGGCAGGTGCCCCGCGCAGGCTTCTCATCCCCCGACGGCCCTGGGGGCCCGCAGGAGTCCTGGGGCACCTCGGGGAGTTCAAGGCTCGCCCACAGGCTAGGATGCACTTCCTGGGCAGCTGAATTCAGCATTGGCGCTGGTAGATCCGCGTCCAACCGCTTAAATTCCCCTGTACTCTGGCGTAGTCCTGGGCTTACTCTAGGCCACGGCGGGCCAATGGCTTCTCAACTGGGCTGAATGGTTCTCGCTCGTTCTCACGAAGGCCGTCTAGGAGTTGCCTCCTGAGACAAGCGTGCCCTCCCAGACATGCGACGTCCTGATTTTTGCAGAACGGCGTCCCGGAAGTCCAGACCCTTTCCCCTGGACTGTTTTTTCATCCCGAGCAGTTTTTTGACGGTCCCGAGGCCCGTCGAGGGCCCCCAGGAGCCGAAAACAGCCGAAAACCTCCCGCCCCTTCTGTTGTTGTTACGACGCGATCATGTCTGGGCTCAGTTCTCTCGCAGCAGGAGCTCTGCCCCCAATGTGCTCGCAGAGTCCGTAGACTTAGAAAGCCCAGGGCTCGCTAGGGACCCGTCTCCTCCCAAAACAACGAAAACCCTTCCAGAACCCTCCCGAAATCCTCCGAAAACCTTCCCGGAACCCTTTTCGGGAGGGTTTTCGGACGGTTTCGGGAGGGTTTCGGTTTTTCGAAAGGAAACCAGTCCCTAGCTAACCCTGGAATTTCTAACCCTCCCGAAACCATCCGAAAACCCTCCCGAACCATTCGAACCAACCGACACCCTCCCCCAGGTACTTGGCATCGCTCGGACGTGTGCATCTTTTCTCGGCGAGAACCATCGAGGACCATCCTGGACCATCG